GAACTCAATGACTCCTTCCTGAGGCAAGTAAGTGTTCATTGCAAAGAGCTCGGAGTGGACAACCACGCCATAGGCTTAAAGTGCCTCATCCCAACCCTGTTTGAAGGACTTCCTTTTTCCATCATCAAAGGCCGAGATGAACTACTCCTAGCATTGTTTGTACACGTCCATGCAAGCCGCGTTCAACCTCCCTGCCTCCCCGACCTTATCTTCCTCCAGCACCTCCACTTTTGAAGTTAAGGGCGTGTAGTTGGCCTCGGCTTCTAGCAACATGGCCTCCACAATAGAAACCTTCAGCTCAGCCTCCTTGCTCTTGTCTATCTCGGAGGTTAAGGCCTCGACCTTATGGATCAGGTTGGCGATGCTTCTAGTCTGATCGACGTTTGTCCTCTCCATTTGGCCAATGTGGAGGTCCTTCTTTTCAAGCTCGACTTGAACCTCGTCGGCTCTGCTCTTATAAGCCCAAAAGCGGTCAATGATGAACCCCATTTATTGGTAAGCCTGGAAAAGGAAAGAGTGAGCATGAAGACACAGTTACAGTGGGAAAACATCAATGGGAAAGAAAGAGTTAGGACTGCTTACCACCAAGTTGTGTTGGACCACTCCCTAGAGAAGACTATTGTCTCCATAGTCATCTAGAATTGCCATGTTGGCATCAAAGTGCAAGGTCCTGCTGACAGCCAGAGCCACATTGGGAGAATGAGTGATTGCTCCAGAATGGCCTGCCTGGTTCTTGTGATTGCTCGGGGGGGGGGGGGGGGGGCTAATCGGCAGGACTAGGGGCGCTAGGACATTATGTCATTGTTTAACTCGACACTCAATGGTTGAGTCGTCTTCTTGTCCACAACGCTGCCTCTGTCGATCTTCACTTCGTTTTGAGGGCTCATCTTGGCACCTTTGTTGTTGATGTTGAACCCTCTGCGGGATTTCTTATTGTTGCCATTGCTGTTGTCATGGCTCCTATTGACATAATAGAGGAGCTGACGGAGGGACGTTGATCGGTGCGGTGCCAAAGGGGCCACCAAGCCCTCAGATTAGGGCCCTTCTGGCCGGGGAGGCGGCCTCCAAACTTTCTGCAATGATGGGGGGATGTAAAACATCTCAGCTGAAGGAGAGTGTGTTGGAGTGGATTCGGAGTTGCGGTCGGAGTCTTCTTTGTCCTCTTCTTTTGAAGAATGATCCACCTAGATGGAAGGATCAAAGGGTGGGGAATCTGAGAGAATCTGGTGTAGCCGAGGTAGTATCTGAGAAGAACGTGAGCTGCCCAAGCAAAACGGTCACCAGGGTTGTAAGACCAGACCTTTATAAGATCTCCAAAGGCGATGGAGGCTTTCGAAGGCTGGGAGGTGTCTCTTTTATACCCCTCTGCAAAGGAGAGTAAAAGGTTAGAAACAGAAATAATGGTCGAATGGTGATGAGCTCGGTGAAGGGCCCATTTGGATCCCTCATTACTTTAGGCAGAAAAGGCCATCTCCCATCTACCACTGAGCATGATGAGATTCCGGGTGTATCTTTTGTCTGAGTTAGGCATGTGCGTCGCCAAGTACATGGAGGGGTCCAGGGATTGCAAGTAGTACTTTCTATTGCTAACCAACTTCAAGTCATATCAAAACAGTATCTCGTCCACCCCGTGGTTCGTCCCTAGCCGAGCATTCAAGGTGACAATGCCCATCACTACTCTAAAAAGGATTATGCAACGCTGAAAAGGGAATAGCCTCAGGTGTATAAGAACCTTAAGAAGAAGAGGTGCGAGAAGGAATCTGACTCCACCCTCGATAATGGCCTTAGTGTGGAAGGACATAACGTCAACACTGTCTATGTCACTCCTATGGTATAGGGGGTCAAAGTCAAAGGTGAAGACTGGCTCAGGAATATTATAGGTAGACCTAAAATTCTATATATAGCTGTCATTTTTTTGGGTCCTTCTTAATCAACTTATATCCCTTGGCCTATTTGGTTCTATAAGGGCCCTAGTCCTTCCTGTATTCGCCATTGGCGATTTCTTTAGAGAGGAAGAAGAGAATGGAAAGGGCAAGAAGATAGTATAGGCAAAGGGATACTTACAGTTCAATAGCTTTGGCAAATTTGTTCGAGACTCAAATGGGAATTGCTCAGGAGATAAATGCAATTTTAGAGGTCGAAGATCCAATGAGTGTAGAATGAGCCACAAACTCCCCTATTTATATTGATTGCAACGTGGACAAAAATTGAGGAGGCAAGCCATCGATTATGAATTTGAAACTCCAGCACCAGACATGGGGTAACTACCCAAATCCAAGTGTGCTGAGGAAGCCTCCACTCTCCATGCACCACCTGTCCCATGACGCGAGGAAAATGGAGGCTGGGGGGCAATTGATGGGACTCTAGGTGGCATGACAGTAGTAAATGGACACGTGGTCAGTTATAGCTGTTAAGGAGGGTAAATAGCGCTTTAGAAAGGCACCGAGGAGTTATGACAGGAAGGGCCGAGTACGCCCTTAGAGCTTGGCATTAAAAGGAATTTGATAGCTCATTAATGGCTTTTGAGTGGCTATAGCAGAGCCAATAATGAATGTCCAAATCCTCGAAGGATGTGAAGACAGTCATCATTACAAGGCATTAATGACCATTACGCTAACTTGAAGTCCTCGGTAGACCCCGAGGGTGCTTATTCCGGAGTAGTAAACACTCGGACATAGGTGTCAAACACCGAGAATGGGTTTTTAATGACCAGGGGATAGGCCATGAATGCTCGGCGATTCCTGAGCAAAGGTTCACTCGCACGAGGAGACTAGTCATTGGATGATTTGATGGGATGACACTCATGAAGCTAGGATATGAGTGCAAGCCATTGATTTCTGAGATGTGATTCAAGGGCACTGCCATCATTGCAAACTCAGGTATAAATGCCCCTCCAGAAGCTGAACCAAGGTACACAATCTGAATAGAAAGAATACATTGTACTTATGACTCCAATGCCGATTGACTTGAACTTCAGAGGGGATTAATTAATCGGGTACACACTTGACCCCCTTTTCCTAATCCTTTGCTTCAAGTTCATCATTCAGGATTGCCCCGTGTATCGCTATCTCAACTCATTGTAGGAAACCATGCGTGTAGGTAACCACGCGTGAAAGTTTGACCGTGAGTCCCATCAAACATTAGAACTTGATGTTAATTCAATGATTACAATAAAATTTCAACATTAAGCCAATAATTTAGGTTAATTTTGGTAGACCGCTAAATGTGTCAAGTAGAGCAGTAATTGTTACCAAAAGGTGTGACGTAAGTCCCTGTTTGGTAACTTTTTTTGTCCTGTGTTTTTGTTTTTAATTTTTGTCAAAAATGAAAACAAAAATATGTTTGGTAACTGTTTTTGGTTTTATTTTTTTTTTGTTGTATTGGAGACAAAGATAAAAAAATGGGAACAAAAAAATTTTGTTCTAGGAAACACGTGAAACAGAAACAAGCGCAAAAAAGGATTAATGAGATCCAAGTTTCGAACTCCCTTAACAGCAAAAATAGTCCTTTTTCGTGAACCTATTTAAACCCACCTCATTTCTCTTTCCTCTCCATCGCTGCCTCACCCTCTCCATCACTGCCTCACTCTTTCCATTTTCTCATCGTCACCAACAAGATCTCCTCTCCTCTCTCTCACCGACGAAGGTAAGCCCCTTCTCTTTCTCTTTCTTTCTCCCTCTCTCATCTCATCTCCTCGCTCTCTCTCTATATATATACACACAAATCTGTGTATATATATGAATATATACACACAAATGCATATATGTGCAAAGATTTGTGTGTATATATATATACACAGATCTGTGCACATATATGCATATATGCACAAATCTATGGGTGTTGCGTGTGTGTTCTGTGTGATTGGTGTGTGTGTGTGTTTTGTGTGCTGGGTGTGTGTGCGTTGTGTTCTATGTGTGTTGTGTTTGTGATTGAATTGAGATTGAGATTGGGATTGAACTAGCTCATTGATTATGGATACCTTTAACCCATTGACATTTTACTATACCCATTTTTCATATGCTTGTATCATATATTCGTACCTAGACATGCTAAACTGCATGAAAGGATCTTTTAGTTTACAGAATTTAGTGGAGTTTGTTGTTTAAATTAATATTAATTTGATTTCTAACAGGTGTGAAACATTTTGGGCAGGCTACACCATTGCTTCTCACAGTAGCAGTTATAGAACTTAGTGATATTGCATTTGTTGTATGTTACTGTAATCTCTTTTCTTATTTTCATAAGTATTTTTATCCCTTATCCTGTGTCAGTCATACTTATTTGAAGGGCTCGAGGTTTGCCAGCTAATGTTGTCCTAATAATCTTGATGCTTGTTTTTCAGGCTAACTCAATACCAACAGTTTTTGGTGTTACACGAGATCCTTTCATAGTTTTTACATCTAATCTTTTTGCCATCTTAGGCAAGTCTTGTTCTTTTTTCCCCTCCTAACAAGTGCTTTGATTTCTGATAGCTCTTGCAATGCCTAATTTTAATTCCTAAATATATTTGTTGTTTAAAAGTACTTGATACGAATCCAAGAGTTCTACACATGTTACTATGTTTTCTGATTTTATTTGTGTAAGCATACATCATTTTTGGGAAATATCATTAGGATGATTATCAAGAAAGTATTTTCCATATTGCTATTCGTGTTTTTTTTCTTTTGCGCAAATTTGGGGGTTGGGGGAGGGGATGTATTGTGATGCTTAGGGATGTTTGTGAATTTGTTAGGGTTTTCCTCTTGTTTTTCCTAGAATTGAGGTTTGAAAATTTGGGTTTCCAAAACTGCACAAACTCCAGCACCCCAACAGCAATCCTCAAAAACATCCTAGCTCAGAAAGTCAGCACCTCAACTGTTGCAGCCGCAGTCCAGTTACAATGCCTTTAACCTCCTCCCTCAACTCCATCCCATCAAGACACCAATTCATTCAGCTCCATTCTTTTTATCAAACACAACTCTCTTTTTTAATCTAGTAGTAGGTAACATGCCCTGGTCCCTCTATAAAAGCAATCTCCCATCAAAAGGCAGCACATCATTCTCAGAAAACTCATGACATCTGCCAGTCTGCACAGCAAAAGAGGCCAAAAAATCAGCAATGACATTGGCCTCTCTGTAAATATGCCTTATCTGGAAATGCAACTTATCCAAAACAATCCATATCTGCTCCATAACATCCCTCATTCCCCAGGGCATTTCTGCCAGTCTTAATACCATCTGAACTAAGACTTGAGAATCAGATTCAATACAAATCTGATTTCCCTCCAGACCATTTCTCAATATCAACTTTAATCTATCCAACATGGATAAACATTCAGCTTTCATATTAGACCCAACCCCATAAAAAGCAGTAGCTACCATCACTATAAGTCCGAGTCAGCTGCGTCAAATGGCTTGTGTCAGAGATACAATTGCTAATCAATTGTGGGCATCAACTCACCATTGATACATGTCCTAATGTTATTATTTATTATGATGGTAAAAATGTGTTGATACTTGCATTGTTATATTCAATTTAATGTTTATATGACTAATTTTTACTTGTTGATGTTATTGTAATCAGGTGTGTTATAATGGCACGTATTGACCCCCATGTTCGTGTGGCTTCGGGAACATGAACATTTTGGTTGCAAGGACCAAACGAAATAATGGACGAGCATTTTATTGTTGTCCACGATAACGTGTGCATGATAATTGTTTCTTATCAGTTGATGAGTACAACACAATTACAAATGACCAGCAGGTGATTAATCAAGCCCAGTCAAGATGGAGAGAGAAGAAATGGATTACTATTTTCAAGCTTGCTTGTTGTTTAGGTAATTTGATTTTTATTTGTGCATTATATTTCGTGGTATTTGTATTAATTATTGGAATTTTAGTTAAGTGATATGACTTATTAATGTCTGAACTTAGGGGCTGTATGTTGGACACTATGATGTATGAATGTGATTACTAACTTATGTAATATAACTATCTTTCTTTAGATGTTCTTAGATGAATTAGTGGATGTTTTGGTTTAAGGAATGTTTGGATTTGTATTTTGATGTAATATAACGTCTATTTGTATTTTATTTAGGTTGTCTGATTTGGGAATTGATTGCAGTAAGGTGCAGGTTAAGGCTTTTTAGGTGAATTGGGTTCCTCATTTAAGTGTTCTTGCAATATCAGCTTGGGCATGTGTATAGGGAGGCAAATTCCATGGCTAATGAAAAAGGAAATCTGGTTGTGCAAAATTGGTGCTTTGTTGAAGGTTTTTAATTCATGGTTGTAAATCATTTTTCATGAAATAAAGTGTTAATTTGTTTGAAAACAAGTAATGAGGTATTATAAAGCATATTTAGGATAAAACTTGAAGTAGTTACCAAACATGTTTTCTGTTTTTATTCTCATAATTTGATAGAGAAAAATGACTACCAAATATGTTTTCTGTTTCAGTGTTTACCACAAAACAGAGACAAAAAATTGTCTCTGTTTTTTATTTTTTGAAGACGCAAAAACAAAAAAGTTACCAAACGAGCCCTAAGTTTTTGGCAAAACTGATTTTCTAGCTCTTTAGGGGTGCAGTGAGTGAGGTGAAAGTTTCGATATTCACCCCATTATTCAAATTTAAAGGAGATTAGCCAAATTTAAAACTTCTACCGAAAAATCAACGGTGCGTATTTAATTCTAAAATACGTTTTGGGTTCGACATTTTTTATTGGACTTTTATTGATAATTTTAAAATTTAGTCACACATTTAATGATTGCAATTATCCAAAATTTATTGTATTGTGGGTGAGTCTAAAGTAACAAAGTCTTTAACGTAACACAACCTTTAAAAGTTCTCCATTACACCCCGACACAAAATTAGTGAGCAAGAAAAAGTTGAGTTCAATTCTTGCTAGTAACTCTCTAATAATTAGACAATAAAGAAAAACTCGGGGTGACAATCTTCAACAAAATGTGTTAAAATACAAATTCGACACAACTAACAGGTAAGGATTAAGTAGTCCTCAACATTAATCAAAAAAATGACATATCCCCCAACATGAATAATAAATCGAGGCTGAGAGTTAGCGTAAAGCATGAAAACTAAAATTTGAAACAAGGAAACTCATCTAACAAAAAATGTTCCTATTATTCATTTTTTATTCCTTGACATGAAGTAAAGCATGAAAACTAAAATTTGAAACAAGGAAACTCATCTAACAAAAAATGTTCCTATTATTCATTTTTTATTCCTTGACATGAAGTTATGCGATATCTTGCACAATCCCAACATATTTTCCTTTGGTTTTGTCCACATCTATATCGAATGGCCTTTAATTTATAAAGGGCTGGGGGTGATAAGTTTGGTTGAACGATAATGCAATTTTAATTTTTGTTTTTTGGGTTTTATATTCACTTAACACAAAATATTTAATAAACAAGTTAAATTAGTACGAGAACATTCTTCCAATTAATTAATCAAATAAATTTAGAACGTTAACACGAATCATGATTTATTCTATTCATGAAAAAAAAATATGAGGTGAGATGTTGTAGACATTAAAAAATTAATAAAATAATATCTACAATTTGACTCAAAATTAATTAAATGACTTTTCTAAAAACTAAATTGGGTTGAGCTTAAATTTCAAAAGTCCAAATAATATATTTGCCTTGTAGTCATGAATATTTGCATAAAACAACTTAACTAGATCATTGCATGTTTTTATCTTCCATCTTCACATCAAACAGAGCATCCCACTTCCGAACACGAAGTATTTCAAGACAACTCATTTGACCTACTAGCTCATCGAGGCAAATACCATACTCAAGTAACAAAGGACTTTTAATAATAAATTTATCATAACTTTTTTTGGCGTGCTTGACCACAAAGATTTTCAAATTCTCAGAACTCCATTCGCTATCCACCTTATTTTTCTTCATCTCTCCACCCTAGAAACAACAATCCTACAAGATACAATGAGGGCATTTACATAAATCCAAGTTATTGAGGTTTTAATTGAACGTAATTTTCTCTGATCGATCAGAAGCCCACTGGATAGTTACTGATCGATTGTATTCATAAAAATCAATCGCAATCTTCCTTATAATTCAAATATGAAAACACCACCATTTTGATCGCTGCCTAAAATAATAGTGATGGATCAAATGTAGTCTGTTTAAAACCCTTATGTCTATTCGATCAATCATATTATCGATGGATTCAAAGTAATTTTGCCATCCCCAAGTTGTTGTACATTTGCGTTTGAGTTCGTAATATTACCCATAGTTGTCGTAACATTAAAGTAGTAAAATTAACCTATAAACTAGTAACTTGGTTCATAACTGACTAACTACGGTATATTTAGTCTAAAGTATAGGATATTGACCCATAATTGTTCAAACGTTCCCTCAATTGTTGTAAATTTGACCACAATATTTTAACTAACCCACTTTTTGTGTAAATTCATTAGTTACTTCATAATTTTGCCCACTGATTTTACAAGTTAACCAAAATATTTGTAATTAGCCTCTAAACTAGTAAACACTTACTTTTACTCAAGTAATTTATCTATTATACTTTTGGATATGTTTTCAATATTATTTTCACTAAATCTTTCGATTAAGATCATTCCTCACCTGAGTCTTAATTGAGTTCGAAAATCGGATCATAAATAAATATTGTGTGGAGTTGAAAGAGGATTCCTGATGCTTTAGTATTTCTAATTATTATTTAAAACCCTAAATTTACTGCTTTCTAAATTTAACTTCTTCAACCTACTTTCAAAAGATTTGGAAGAAACAAGCTCGTCGCTCTCTACCTGTAGAGCTCTTTCCTTTTCCTCAATGGTGATTCCCTCGTGAAGGTATTCATCCTTCCTTCCTTCCTTCTTCTACTTACGTCTCCCTTCTTCTGTCTCTCTTCTTCTTTCTTTCTTTCTTTTTATTGCTTACCATCATAACAACCCAACATATATACTCATTACATTTCACCCAACATTCTCTGATACCACGTTTTATAGATGTTCCAAATGAACCCCTGAACCTCAAAGCTTAATACATGCACCTAGATTGAATCCCCAACCTCAAAGGAGACCTAAAAAAAGAAAAAGAAAACCCCTCATAAACAAAACAGCCACCACATTTATCTCCTCTACCTCTTCACACTCCCACAACCCAAAAAAACTCCTGGGAATCCATTTGCCAAATCCCTTTGTACCCTAGTACACCCCTCACATCCAAGCACCCCTCATAAACCTCAAAAAACTCCTCGTAAACCTCAAACAACCACCACATCTATTCTTACTCAATCCCCTCTACCTCTTCACACTCCTACAACCCAAAAAATTGAAGGGAATCCATTTGACCAAATCCCTTTGGTGGTGTTTGGATCACCATAGGAGGATTGGATTGGATTGAATTTGAATTCGAACCCAATCCAACCCAATGCAAAGTGGTCTGGATTGAAGGATTCTAAAGTTTAGATTCAAATCCTATCCCATCTTTGGATAGAAACTATTTGGTTGTGGGCTCCATTCACAGGTGAAGATAAAACATACTAAAATGACCATTGCACCATTGTGTAAAAAAATGTTATTCAATCCTATACCATGTTTGGAATGGAATGAAAAAAAGTCTAATCCATTAGTATTGTCTTATTTAGGAAAAAAAAATATGAATCAATAAATTACGCATTTTTAAAAAATATTGCAATAAATATTTTGTTCATTCATTTAATTTAATTTGTACAATACACTTTTAATCAAAAAAATCATATGCATCATGCAAAAACTCACAAATCGATGCAATTCATGCCTAAGTCGTTATTTGTTTCTTTTTACTACCATCCGAAGTTGTGTGTTTAAAAATAAAACTTAATTGTTTTTTTTTCAATAAATAGCAAAATTAATCCGAACCCAATCCAAAATTTTTTCAATAACCCAAATGCAATTTATTTTCCATGAATTTTAGGACATTTTAATATTATTGCCTGAATTATTAACACAAATCAGGTCAATTTAAAATATATTGCTTTAATTAAAATGTTAATTTTTTTAGAGTTCATCCATAAGGAAACAAATGGATGAGCATAACATTTTAAGATCTTAAAATTTTAAGACGTAATGAGATCTTAAAATCTAATTTTTTCATGAGACCCAAACCCTTTCATTCAAAGTTGACTCAGACTGAATATTTTCACACACTTAATCTCAAATTATGTGCTTGCATGCTACATTCTGTCAATTGAG